TCTTTTTTACATGCTTTTATCTTAAATAGGTTTTTACTATTTCATGTTGTATCAATAGGGAGGTGTATGACTGTTCACCAAAATCATGTCTAACAAAATGCCTCAAAATGTACTGTTGAGGATGCAACCAGTCGTTAATTCATCATACCCTGATTTATATGTTATTTGAAGTCGGGATGTTTATTTCTTTGTTTATAGCTACATAACGTTGTTTTATTCAATTCTTTCAAGTCGTTTGAAGTGTATTTACTCGTTGACATTTTTTAAAACATTTCTTGCAAACGTGACTCGATACCCGAGTATACATCGTAGTTGCCTACGGCGTTTGAATTTCTTACGACTGACTTGTTTGCTGGATTAGAATAAGTGCGATTGTGACAACTAACAATTATTGTTATTAATCATATAAGACAGCAAAGGAAGACGTGGGACGCCAAAGTAGGTTATGTCTCCATACTAATAATTAACGGGAGAAGTATTTGTATTCTCGTAGTACCAAAATAGGAAGCTAAAATAATAATTTAGTTTTTTTTTTGTAAAAAAAAAAAAGAAAAAAAAGTAAAAGATGAATGTGAATAGTGGGAAAATAAGGGAGGTGGAGAAATAAATAAATAAATAAATAAAAGAAAAAAAAAAAAAAAAGAGAAAAAGAGAAAGGGAAGGGGCATTGAGAGTGGGAAAAGGGAACTAATTGTGTCGGGTGATGATGTGTTACTGTCGCTTTTGATTTCCCACAAGAAAAGCAGTCGGCGCCGCCGTGGATTGCCTTGCCTTCCCTTCTCTAATTCTCCATAATTCTTATCATTATGTTTTATCATTGAAAATGATTGTACCCACGTTTCCCATTTCTTACTCACTACACCCACTTCCTCTTTTTCTTTACTTTTTTAATGTTTTTTTTCTTTCATTTTTCAAGCTATTTTATTTTATAAGCTTCAAATAAGATATTAACGATTTTCATTTAATTTAAGAATAGTATCGAAATTTTAAGATTATTTTGGAGACATAAATAATTAATTTTTATTAATTTAGTTGCATGTATTAAATTTGTATAAAATTCATATTTTTATTTTTATTTCTCTATATATTTGATTTTTGAGAAGTCGTAAGAAGGACAAGTCCGTAAATTCACCCAATAAATCAAATTAAAAATATAAAATAAATCACACACATATCCTACCATTAAATGGAACGTTTTGCACTCAGCTCTACCGGTCAAATTTTCTCACCTTTTTCACCGTTATGTGTTAAATAAAAATAATAACAAATAAAATCAAAAGGTAAAAAGATATATATATATATATATATAAATAAAAAAATGCACCGAAATAGTTTTCCATCTTTACATAAACTCCTCTTTCAATTCACACTTTCGTCTCCAACTCTGCATGTTCCAGTTCTTCCTCCTCTCTCTCACAGCCCTTTTCTCATCCGTTTCCATGGCTTCCTTTCTTCCATAAGAATCAATTAGTAAATTATCGGTTCGTTGTTTCACCGTTCAGGCGAGACGAACGAATCATTTCAGACACCGGAGATGCTTCCTTTTCAGAGTCATTACGGATTCCAGAGCAGTTGGTTGAATTATCGCGACGGCGATCATTTTAAACGTTCGATGTCCGCTGCCGGATGCTCGATCGTCGGAAATGCTGCAGATTCGTCCAAGGACGAGAAGAAATCTACGGAAGCGAGTCGAAGTCATAAGGAAGCGGAGAGGAGACGGCGACAGAGAATCAATTCGCATTTATCTACGCTCCGTACGATTCTTCCTAATACTACTAAGGTAATCGTTTAATTCGCGAAATTGTTGTGTGCATTTTGTTTTGTTGATGTTGAATTGACGAAGCGTTGAGGTTTATTGGATATGGCGGATGGAATATTTGAATTAGTTTTGGACTGTTTGTTTGTTTTATTGTAGACGGACAAGGCGTCGCTACTGGCGGAAGTGGTGAGTCATGTGAAGGAGTTGAGACGGCGAGCGACGGAGGTTGCGCACCGAAGTGCAGACCAGTGCGACGGCGACGGCGGTAAAGTGCCGTGGGCGTTCCCTAGCGAGGAAGACGAAGCGACGCTCTGTTACTGCGATAACGAAAACAGGTTAATGAGAGCGACAGTTTGTTGCGATGAGCGGTCCGGTCTGAATCGGGATTTGATTCAAGCGATCCGGTCGGTTCACGCGAGGGTGGTTCGGGCCGAGATGATGACGTTGGGCGGGCGGACGAAGAACGTGGTGGTGTTGGAGTGGAGCGGTGGCGGCGACGGTGGCGGGAGAGAGGAGGCGTTCGTGGGCCTGAGGCGGGCTTTAAAGGCCGTAGTGGAGAATCAGGCCCAGAATCTATCGGGTCATAAGCGGGCTAGGGCCTGTTGTCCAATAGAGGACCCGTTTTACATGTGCTGACGTGGCCTAGCAAGTTTGTTTTGGAATTGTCAGTTGGGAATCTTTTTTGTTTTTGCTTGGTGTAAAATGGGAAGGAATCAGGTCCAACACGAGAGAGAAAAGTGACCGACATGTCGGCTGTCGCACAACAGACAAAACAACGTAATAAGTGCAAAAGCTCAGTTGGGGGTTGAATCATGTCGATGGTATATCTAAAAATTCTTAATTAATTTCCTCTTTTAGAATCGTTTGTAGCAAACAAAAATCTCAAGTCTTTTATGCAGCAGTGTACTATTTGATGAAATAGTACACATTTCGAATATATAAACCCTAAACTACGGAGTTTAGATGAATACGACTCTCTACAATGGTTTGATATTGTTCATTTTGAGCATAAGTTCTCATGGGTTTACTTTGGGCTTCCCCAAAATATCTCGTACCAATAGGGAAAGTATTCCTGAATTATAAACCTACTCATCTTTGATACACCATATGCTTAGTTTGCTTAGCATAATCACGAATCACTATAATTATATCATATCAAGAGATAATCATGCATAAGTAAAGGGAACAACTATAATATTATTTGTTATGAATACTGGAACTATCCACATATTTAGAGATGTCCATAACCATATGAAAGTTTGCTGAGAACGAAGAGCGAAAGTCACTAAATGGGTAAGTCATCGATTCTTAAAACAGACTAGGGAGAATTCCCATTTAAATGGAGTTTGAGAGATGAGAGTCGAGAGAGATTTATCTTTATTAGTTGAATGGGACTAGGGACAAGGATTACATTCTCCGTCCTTAAACCACTCCCAATTCCCACCTCTATATGTGTATGTCAAAACTAACTTATTATATATATATATGATTATTTACTTAATTAATATATATATATATATATATATATATTTATTTATTTAAGTGTTATTGAATTTATAGAAATTAAGTTAAATATTCTCCTTAAAAATATTTATTTATTATGGTATTATTTTATATTCTTTTAATATGGGATAAAAAAAGAATGAAAAGGGAGGATGCTTCTAGACTACTGGTCCACTGGGTGGATAATATATTGTTACATTAAAAAAGTATTATTTAAAAAGTCGATATTATATATTGTAAAATAATTAAGAAAGTAAATTGAAATTTATTGGAAGTAGAGAAAGTAAAAATAAAAAAGCAGTAGATAAGTCCACGTGTCGATGAGGAGTGAAACGCTGAATAATGGGAGAGCTTCGTCCACGCAGTGACGTAGTTAAAGACAGACGTCTCTTCCTCCTCCCTCCTTATCCTCGTTACTCCATAACTCATCCCCAATTATTATTTTTTTATTCTCTTTCTTTTCCTTTAAACATTTTAATATATTTAACAATTTTATAAAATTAATTATTCTTTTATAAAAATATAAAATTATATTACAATTTATTGGAATATAAAATTAAGAATTTCCTTGCCGTTAGGTTCACGTGTCACGTGCCTACAAAACGACATGCCTGCTTACTTGGAAGATGGTCATCTTTTATCTTATGATTATATTAAAATTATTTCATAAATATAATTCTTAAAAATTACTATATATTAAATTGCTTAAAAATATATATATTTTTTAAAGTAATAATTTAATCTATTTATTTTACAAGTGTATCTATTTTGTCTTTATTTAAACAATATTATTAAAATTCAGTAAAAAATTTATGGATTAATTAATTAATTAATTAGAGTTCAAAATTGTTTATAAACTATAAAAATTAAATTAATAATTAATTTTGATGAAAATTTGTTCGTAAAAACAAAATCGTTATAAATTGTAAAGTGTAATTAAAATTTAAAAATTAATTGTTACAAATTTTCATAAAAAATTTAAATACTAAAAGTATTTTTCATCCTTTTCTCATCATTTTCAGTTGGGAGAAATTCTGTTTCTGTGAGTTCTTCCACTTTCTGTTTCTTTGTTGTGCTGTAATCTTAGCGTTAGATTGGTTTTTATTTCGATGGAATTCGGGATTTGAAGGAAGAAATCGATGAAACGCATCCGGAAGTGTCTTCTTATCGCATTCACGAGCGGGTATTTCCTTCATGTGATTGATTTACTGTATGAATGTTTAATGGAAGAAATCCGATCAATTTTCTCTTCTGGATTCTTATTTTTACTTTCTGATAAGGTTGGAGGTCTCGAGGAGCTCATCTGGCATGGAAGTGAAGGATGAAGATAAGGTGTTTGATGAAATGACAATGAAGATTTCTGAGTTTTAAGAACCACAAGTTTTTGTAAGTAGCAGTTGATCAATGAAAACAATTGGGGATCGGTTTTTAATCCAAGGATTTCTTATGAAACAGGCAACATTTGGAAAATTTTCAAGCTCTTGCAGAACTGCAAGCCCCTACGGTAATGAAGACGATGAACAGTCCTGTTTTGACATCACTTAAGTTTGTTGCTATATAATTACCTTGGATATTTCAACATAACCTCACATGTATAGAACAGTTCATGGTGATTTCTTGAGTGGATTCTAGAGTATGTCGTGTTGGATGATAAAAGTCCCACATCGGCTAATTTAGGGAATTAGGGAATGATCATGAGTTTATAATCAAGGAATACTCCCTCCATTGGTACGAGGGCTTCAGCCATGAGAGCTTATGCTCAAAGTGAACAATATCATACCATTGTGGAGAGTCGTGTTCATCTAACATGTCCATCCAATATCCTCCGATTTCAACCTGGAGAAGCTTTCGCGGTGCGTAACGTAGCAAACATCGTTCCACCATGGGAGGTATGAAGCATTGTGCTAACATCTTGCATTATCTAAGTCTGAGTGGACTAATTTCAGTATTTGCATTTTATTTCTGATACAGAATGGACCAACTGAAACCAATGCAGGCCTTGAATTTGCAATGAACCCATTAAAAGTAGGCTATTTCCCATTCTTCTTGCTGTCAAATTTGATCTTTATCATCTCTAGGCTGAATATTCTTCTCATTACAGAGTGCATTTATTTGATGAATTCTTAAGAGAACTAGTTTTATGCTCAAGGTTGAGAACATTTTAGTCCTTGGCCACAGTAGCTGTGCTGGAATTCAGGGCCTTATGAGCATGGAAGATGATGCTATCAACTCGAGGTTCCACTTTCTTCAACTCCCTTGTATCTTATATGTAACAATCCAAGTCCACCGCTAGCAGATATTGTCTTATTTGGATTTTTCCTTTCGGATTTTCCCTCAAGGTTTTTAAAACGCGTCTATTAGGGAGAGGTTTCCACACCCTTATAAAGAATGCTTTGTTCTCCTCCCCAACCGATGTGAGATCTCACAATCTACCCCCCTCAGGGCCTAGCATCCTCGTTGAAGCTTGTTCCGTTCTCCAATTGATGTGAAACCCCCCCAAATTCACCTCCTTTCGGGGCTCAGTTTCTTCGCTGGCACATCGTACAAGATAGGCTTGACATGTTACATGGTCTCATCATCAATGTCATTACCGTCAAATATAACATGCATAAGATAAGAAAAAGATTTGGGTATATATAATAGACCAGACGAGTGCATAGATCTATTCATTAGAGTTATATTGTAATACGTTTTCAACTTTTGAAATGAAATAAGGTGAAAAGTGAGGGGAAATATGCTTTTAATTATTCATATTTGAAGAAAGAAAAAAGGTTTAAAAGTAAATGGAATTGAAGGTGAAAGTAATTAAGGCGGTAAGCAAAAATGATTAGATATCATTTAGGCTTTAAACTTTTTAAATTTAATTTTAAAATTTTGAAAACAAGAGATTTTAGATTTAATTAGAAAAAAAAGATAAATTTAAATAATTGAAATAAAAATGTATATTAAAAAAAAAATATAGGCGTAATTGAAAAGGCTCCGTCATGAGTCAAATTCAATAGTCCCTCCCTTTGTTGTTTTTGGATATGGGGGATGTCTCTCTCTCTCTCTCTCTAGAAATGGAAAGGCGGTGCCTTCTTTATTTCGCTTCGATCTCAATTCTCGACCTCTTTTTACTTTATATTTTGGGACGGTTACCGTGTGACCGACAGTTTTTTTAATTATCAGATAAACACGAAAAATAGTAAAAGAGATAAAAATTTATAAATTATATTCTCTAAAATTTAAATATTCGTTTTATATATAGGCATCGTATAATTCTATAAAGTCCAATATGAAAATATTATAAAACTTAGAGCTAAATTTTAAATTAAGAAATTAAATTAGGTTTATATAAATCTACCACAAAAAAAATAGAGGCTGTTTTAAGTCAAGATTTTGTGATGGCGGTGGGCCCCACCTCCACCTTCTAAAACAGCTGCGCCACCGCCGCCGCCGCCGCCGCCATCCCCCCTCTCTCTCGATATAATTTAAAGCCCAATTCTTCCCTTCCACCGCCTCTTTTGCCATTCCACCCTCTCCTCTCTCTTTTTTTATTTTTATTTTATTTTTTTGGGGATTTTGAAGAAAAGAAATTAAAGGCTATTTCGCTCACCCCAAGAACCAGACTTCCAACATGTTATCCAAATTTCATCTCAGTCGTCACTTTACCCACCCTCCGCCCCATCAACCGGAGGATGAACCTACCGCCGCCGTGCCTTTGCCGTTCAAACCCCTCCCGGAACCAATCTCTGCCGCCGATGATTCCACCATCGAGGTGGTCCGGCGGCCTAGGGGTCGCCCACCGGGCTCCAAAAACAAACCGAAACCGCCTCTCGTCATAACCCGGGAACCCGAACCGACTATGCGGCCGTACGTTCTAGAAGTGCCTGGTGGAAACGACGTCGTTGAAGCTATTTTGCGATTTTGCCGTCAGAAAAATACGGCCCTTTGTGTTCTTAACGGCTCCGGTACCGTTGCTAATGTCTCTCTCCGTCAACCCTCCGCTACCCCTAGCGCCACCGTCACATTTCACGGCTGTTTTGAGATCCTCTCCATTTCCGCCACCGTGTTTCCTGAAACGATGTCGTTTCCTGTCCCTAACGGTTTCACCATCTCCCTCGCTGGACATCAGGGTCAAATCGTCGGCGGTATGGTTGCCGGCGCCTTAATCTCTGCCGGTACAGTTTTCGTCATCGCCTCGTCGTTCAACAATCCGATGTACCTCCGGCTTCCCGAACTGGATGAGCTCAAGAATTCGGAATCCGGCGGCGGCGAAGTTCACTCCCCACATGTCTCCGTCGCCGGAGATAGTAGCGGGCACCGACCCGGGCAGAGTCGAGGGCGCGGGCAGCTTGTTGAATCCCGCGGAATGGCTTTAATGAGTTGCCACGCGCCGTCCGACGTAGTATGGGCGCCGACGGCGAGACAACCGCCACCGCCGCCGTACTAATCCGTAACTTTCTTCTTTTTCCCATTAATTTCCCATTACTCCTGTTAAATTTGTAGGGTTTGTAGTTTGTTGTAGAATTTTTAGAACTGAAAAAGAAATCAACTTATTATTATTATTATTATTTTGCATGATTATTTGTGGTTTATTCATTTAATTGCTTCAAAAATTCAATTTAAATTAAATATATATATATATATATATATATATATATATATATATGTTATGTTTGTCCAAGACATGTTGTCCAACCTGACATGATTGTCGAGTATAACGATCTTACTTATTCAAAGCATGTTGCTCATGGCCACATATATGTGGCATGTCAAACCTCTTACATTGATTTTTTTTTATCGCTTTCATAATATATAGTTCATTGTTTATATTTCCTAAGTGTACGATGTTTCGACATAATCATGTCTATGCTTGATAAATCTGAAATGTCTCAAAATGTACAATATGAAAATGCGACTAGTCGTCAATTCTTCCTACCCAGTGTCATATACTATCTAAAGTGTTACCTTTTTCGCTTATAGTCTATAACATTGCTTCCAATTTTACTTTCAAACTCTTTATCGAAAATCTCTTTGCCTTCGCTTTTTAAAATATTTTTTTTCTTAAATATTTGATGAAATTCATGATTAAAAAGGTAAATTTTGGATGAATAAAGTATTTTGCAATATTAATTAAAGGGATTTTGTGATTATTAAAAAGAGACAAGAATGAGCAAAATTGAGTCACGTGAAAAATAAAACTAATAAATAATGTACCAAATCTAATTCAATAATTATGGAGTAATAACCAAATATTCAATTTTAAAATAATAAATAAGTACTTTTTTTTCCTACTTAATTGTACTCGAATTTTCACTATTTAATATTTTATTAATAAATATAAGTCCTTTTCACCTTTTTCTTACTATTAATTTTCCCTGTCGACCACTTAGCTTTGTCTTTAATTTGTTTTTGTTTTTATATGTTTTTTTTTTTTACTTTTAACTTTTAATCTTTTTTTAGCCTTTTAAAGTAAAATTTAAGGGATATTTTACCCCAAATTTAAAAACTAAATTAAAATAAGTTAGGGCATAGCTTTGATGCTATGATAGTCGAATACGACTCTCCACGATCCACAATAGTATGATATTGAGAGTTTTGGACTTCACCAAAAGGCCTCATATCAATGGAGAGTGTATTATTAGATTATAAACCCATAACCATTCCCTAAATTAATCAATGTGGGACACTTTCATCCAACACTAATGACACGAAAACAATCCGGAATGGCTATAACAGTCAAATGGGTTTCTTCAGACTGTTAGATCAGGGCAGAAATGCATATTTGGAGATAGTCGAGACTGTACCGAGAAGGGAAAAGCCCGAATTGTCGTTCGAGTTGATGAAGTATGATTTTTCGGAACCGAAAGTCGGAGAAATATGAAATAAAAATAATATTTTGAAAAAACGATTGAATTTTGGAAATGGGTGAAAGTCAAATATGAAATGAAGTGTAGGGTTTGGTGGGAGATTGAGTGAATTGAATTTGGGGTGAGAAAACAGCACACAGTTCAAGTGCTGTGATTTTGACATTTAAGCCAATTGGATAATATCAATTATTATTATTATTATTATTATTATTTTCATTTCTTTTTCTTGAAGCTTCTAAAATAAATAAATAAATAAATAAATATTGGGATTACAAAGTGTTGTCGTTTTGGGACACATATCTTTATCTCCATCCCTATCCTTTCAAGCAACTGCTTTTACTTCATGTTCTTATCTCCTTTTCTAAAGAATAATCTTTGTCCAATATAGTAAATGACAAAATGAACCCTACTTGATAATTCAAGAACAATCTAGATGAAGGAGCTAAGCTCGGAAGAAACGTGAAACTATATGGAGATTCATCGTGTAACCTAGATCGATTATCGAGTAGTGATAGTCATACTATAAGATAGATAATAGGAGGCTCAATGGAAATTATAATGTTGTATTTATAGGTTAATATAAGGGTTTATCGTAATCTTCTTAGGATCAATGAGCTAGATTTTGATCGGTAAATCATGCCACTCTGTATGCCCATTTAATTGCTCGATGAAATGTTAGCAGCATATGAATTCATTATTTATATAGTTTCTGTGAGATCTTACGTTGGTTGGAGATGGGAACTAAGCATTCATTATGAGAGTGTAGAAACTTGTCCTTAGTGGACACGTTTTAAAACGATAAGACTGACAGTGATACGTAATGAGATGAAATGGACAATATTTGTTAACAGTGGGTTTAGGCTGTTACAAATGGTATCAAAGCCAGAAATGAGGCGATGTGTCAGTTAGGACGTTGGTCCTCCAAGGGGAGTGGATTGTGAGATCCCACATTGACTGGAGAGGGGAACAAAATATTCATTATAAGGGTATTAAAACCTTTCCCTAGTAGATGTGTTTTAAGTTTAACTGTTTATCGAAACATTCATTATGAGGGTGTAGAAACATCTTGAGGCTAACGACGATACGTAACGAGTCAATGTGGACAATATCTGTCAATAGTGGACTTGGACTGTTATCGTTTCCGAAATGAGAAATCGAACTATCAACTTTTAATATGGTAATTGATGTATTGTCGATCGAATTATTTTCAAATTAAAAAGTGAATAAGTCAATAAACTATTCGACATAAGATTGATTTTATTATATTCTTAAACCTGAAATTAAAAATTTAAGAATTTAATTAAAAAATTTATATGAATTTATTTAAAAAAGGAAAAAGAAAATGGGTTAATATTAACTTGGTTAAATTAAAACATTAAATGTTTTAGGTGAAAAAGGTAAATGATGAGTGAGTTGGTTGTGGTTGACTTTTGATCCCTTTGTCGGACAAATTAAACCGTATCCAACTTGGTCGGCACCCCCAACTTATAACAATTTGCTTTTTAGTCCTCCAATTTTAATGTCCTTTGCTAAAAAGCCCTCCAACTTTTGCTTTATATTTCCATTTTTTACTTAATTAATAATGTTCCTTTTAATCCAAGTTTGCATTAATTTTCCTTTTTTAATTATATCCACAACTTTTTATATTAATTACTTATATAACCACCATTATTATAATATAATGAATATACTTTTCAGCCTTTCTTTAATTTTATTATAGTATTTTATTTTGTTCTTATATTTTTAAATATTTTTTAAAATATAATATGAATAAGAAATATTTAGTGGTATTCATATCCCTCCATGACCCGATCAACACATACTCTAAAAAGTTGGGTTAGACTGAGTTTATTTATAAAAAATTGAAAATTTGGGTCCCTTCGTGTTGACATTTTTTTATCCGGTCAAATTGACCAACACAAATGATTCAACCCAATTTAATTCTATTCGACTTTTAAAATTAAGAATATATTCGAGTATTATGATATTTTAGTGATTAATGTAACATGTATTATGGATAAATATGATTTTTTAAAATAGTTTAAAAAAGAACTCAACAACTTAATTCAACTTTAAGTTGTAAACTAACCCGTCATCAATCTAACCAATCCGAAATTTCACGTTCATTCAAAATATTTTTCTAACCTAACTCGTGTATATATTTTTTTATTATTAAAGAAAATCGTATAAAAACGAAAAGGAATGCAATTTAAAGTGGAATTTATTTGTAACAATGTGAAAAGAAAAAATAAAAGTAAAAAATTTTGACCGAGCCAGCTGCAATCCGTCAACATCTGCGGCGCGGCGGCTGGTGCGGCGGCAGAGGCGGCCTCACTTTTTTTTTTTTTTTTTTTTTTAAATTTTTT